AAGCATTCTGTTTTTTTCTTCTTTTTTTCTCTCCGCTCTAAAAAATTTCTGCACTGAATTTTCTGCATTGCTCGAACCAAATTGCATTAGTTTTTTCTGTTGTTCAAACAAGGTAAATTCCTAGACTGTTTTGTTCGATTATACATTGTATTTTTCGAACAGTTTTTTCTGGTTTTTTTTCGGAATACTCTCACCTTTTTCCTGCAAAAAGGGTAACAAAAATAGGGAAAAATAAAATAGGCTCGGGTTTAAACGGGGTGAAATAAAGAAAAGGATAAGGCTCAAAATGGTTCATTAAGGGGAAAATAAATAAAAGGGTAAGCTATTTTGTTTGGGAAGAGAAATGGGTTTAATCCTAATGCATTTATCACATTAAAGCATAATAATCAAAATGTGTAGTCTCAACAAGAATCGAGTTACAAGTTCTAGAATGCAATCAATTAGTTCGGCACACTCAATTGAAACAAAGAGCAAGAATAAAAGATATGCTCATTAAGCTCAAAACTCACATGAAACGAGTAGTACTTATTCGATATGTTTGATGTTACTGTTCATGTCGAGATGTATTGCCGTGACATTTTTATCTGTCAGGTTCCAGATAGCATAGGATCACTTTTAGTAAACTCTGTCGAGCAAATAGTTACAAATTTAAAGATTAAATTTATTTATATAATATATAAAATTATGAGAATCTAAATTATTGTTAGACCAAAAATTAAGAGATAAATTACTATAAAATACGTATTCGTACCATCTTTAAATAAATTATAATTTTATTTTTATTAAACGAAAATATAATATGAAAAAAAATTGAATATGTTTATCATGTTATTATATTAAGATAGGTTAGGACTCACTTATACAATATAAAATTCTTTTAGTTTTACATAGATTTAGATAAGTGAAAATAGACAACTAGGGTTAACTTTTTTTTTTGGGCGATTATCTTCTCATTTCTTATTATTAGTCTCTTTTGTTTATTTTAACTCATATTAAATTTATGTAAAACTAAAAAAAAAATTATACTGTTTAATTGGATCCTATCTGTAATGAGAATTCACGAGAATTCATAAAGTTAAGTAGTATATAGAAACATGTATGATCTATATATTATTGCATTGAAAAACGTGAGAGATTTGTAAATGCATACATCCAAAAGGAAAGCTGATTTTTTGTTCTTTACTCACTCACATGCAGGTAATTCTAGACCAAGTTCTTCATTCTTTATGATAAGATTTATAATTTCTAGAGATTTAAAATAAAATGCTGTGTAACATTAGATTATAAGTCTATAATTTCTAAAGGGTTTATAAAAAAATTTCGAGTTTGATGACTAAAATGATTTTATAATTTCATTAAATTAAAATTTTATATTTTAAAGAAAATTAGACTGAAAAATTACCATTTTCGAACCATTCGCTCATTTGTTTGGGCTGTTTTATGGATAAATATTGATAGAGACAAAGTATTTAAGCTCATCGTAAATAATTTTATAAATTATAATTTTATTAGAAAAAACATTTTAAATGGCTCTTCATAAATAATATTAAAATACGAATTCAATAAACATTGAAGCTCATCGTAAATGTATTAAATTAAAGAGAGACGCTCTAGCTATATCCATGTAGGATCAAAATAGAGCTTAAAACAAATCCGTAAAATTCAATGTAATTGCAGCAATATCGATGCTGCTACAAACTTATTTTTGTTCACACTTACCAAAATTCTGTGTGTTCACACACAATCACTAACGCCGACAATAAAAACAATGGATATAAATAGGTAGGACATGTTTTAATGTTATAAAATAAATGGCATATATGCTCAAATAAGTGTTGATATGCATTTGTTTGAAGTAAGGATTAATTTCATCACTAATGCCGACAAATCAAGACCATGAATGTCCTGATCCTTTAATTTATATAAATTAAGTGGCGTTCTACATTTCCTTCCTTACAATGATTCATACGGCGTCATTTTAATGCTCGATTGATCATTGTTATTATATGCAAATTCTGCAAGCGACATATACTTTTCCCACGATCCATGAAAATCAATCACACATACTCCTAACATATCTTCCAGAACCTGAATCGTCCGCTCAGATTGGTCATCAGGTTGAGGGTGAAAAGCAGTGCTAAAGTTCAATCGAGTACCCAAAGCTCCATGTAAAGATTTCCAAAATCTCGAAGTAAATCTTGGATCTCTATCAGAAACCATTGAAACTGGTACTCCATGCAGTCGACCTATCTCCTTGAGATATAATTCAACCTATTTATCCATTGAATAATCTGTTCGAACAGGAATGAAATGTGCAGTCTTTGTTAGGCGATCCACAATTACCTAGATTGAATCCTTTTTGTTTGGTGACAATGGAAATCCTGTTACAAAATCCATCGTAATTCTTTCCGATTTCCACTGAGGAATAGAGATCGGTGAGATTACTTCAACGGCATGGCGCACACTGGACACTAGTGAGGTGGATTCCATTGACGATGGAAACTTATGATGGTCGGTAGTGGGTCGAGGTGAGTGAGGTTTGCCGAATAATGAGTCTTTAGAGTAAATACTACCACTTGTAACATATAGATTAATAATAAAAAAATCCACAAAATTAAGCAGTATATAAAAACATATATGAATTTATATATACTTGCATTGAAGAAAACGTGAAAGATTCGTAAATGCATGCGTCCAAAAGTAAACATGATTTTTCTTCCCTTTACTCACTCACGACCGGCAATTTTGGACCACATTCTACATTCTTTAAGATAAGAATTATCCATTCAAAAAAAAAAAAACAAGACAAGAATTATAAATTTTTGGGGAATTGTTTTTTTGCGTTTTGATGGCTAAAAACGTGAATTATCCATTCATAAAGTTAAGTAGTATATAGAAACATGTATGACCCATGCATACATCCAAAAGGAAAGATATTCTTTGTTCTTTGCTCACTCGCAATCAGGCAATTCTAGACCAAGTTCTTCATTCTTTAACATAAGATTTATAATTTCTAGAGATTTAAAATAAAATGTTGTGTAACATTAGATTATAAGTTTATAATTTCTAAAGGGTTTATGCATGTACATACATACATGTCTATATGTATACATGCATCAAAATATATATACATGCATACATGTATGAATAAATTATACATACATGCATGATACATAAATACATACATACATATATTATGCATTAATAAGTTATTTATACATTACACATATATATCAATTAATTCATTATACATTAATTATACATACATACATTATACATACATATCATTATACATTATACATACATATCAATTCATACATACGTTATATATAGATATCAATTCATACATATCAATTCATAATATATCATACTTACATTATACATTATAGATATTTAATCATACATACATACATTATACATTAGCTTAATTAAATTTATTTAGTTTATTTGATTGTAATTTTAGTGTACTAAATTATAATAAATTTAATTTGTATATTTTTAAATTTTGTTAGTTTTCATTATTTGTTAAGTTACTAAATCTTTCAATCTCATGTTTTGATATTATCATAAGTAAATTTATGTTTAAATACATATATTAAAATTTAAGTTAAATTATATTTAATTTATTAATTAATCATTTTATCAAAATAATGAAATAAACTTATTGATATTTAAAGTCGTTTTATATAATCTAATCTTTAAGTTCTTAATTTAATGATCAATAAATAAATTATTTGATAAAACTAATTTATTAGTGATAATTAATTTTTAATATAATGACCATAATTAATATAAAAAAACTAAATTTATTAATTTAATGATATAATTAATATTTTATTTTAAATTTTGAAGAATTATTTTATTATTTTTATCATCTTTAAGTTCTTAATTTAATAAAATTTTTAAATATATTTATAGACTATAATTTATAAATATAAAAAGTAAATATATTAATTTAATGATCATAGTTAATCATGTACCTTAAATCATGAAGATGTATTTTGTCACATTATAATATAATAAACTCATAATCTCACAAATCTCAACTTCATTAATTTTAACTTACAAGTAAATACCAAGTCATGTAAATATTAGATCAGTTCAATAACAAGACGGATCATTTACATATTGAGTTAATTACATACCAGATCATAACAGATCATGTTGATAATAGGTCGGATAATATCAGTTATTTACCAGGTTAATCTTTGGTTTGGGTTCATATCAGGTCGAATGCAGGTTGAGTTCGGTTATCACATTATCATATTCAATTCGGGTTCAGGTCATTCTCAAGTTTGGTGCAAGTCGTAAATTTCCAGGTTCAACTCGAGTTCAGGTCAACATCAGTTTAGACTCGAATTAATTTTGGATCATCACCACCCCGGGTCACAAACAATTCTGACTCAAGTCCATTTTAATCATTTCTACATGTCGAGTTAGCTTTTTACGTCCCTCACCAACTCATAACTAAAAGATAGCATACATGATTTATATATAATCACATTAAACAACGACAGAGATACAATGCCACTGCTAGGCTATGCGCGCGACATTTATTAATTGCAAATAACTAAAAGAAAACGTAAATACATGCTTCCATGAATGAAACATGATCTTATTCTGCGAACAGACACATTCCCGCTGCTGAAGTTGTGTGTATAGTTTAACTCACTCCAGCTTCTCTTCTTTGGATTCAAAGACGACCCTGGAGTAATTGGAACCAGTGAAAGTGCCACCTTGAATTTCTCTTATGACGGTGGTCCCATCATAAAGAGTGTCCCTTTGCATAAATGTGAAGGGAACATCGCACAAACCTTGTGATGCAATTAGACTAACCGTTGTCTTAGTCATTGCCGGCACTTGAATTGTGTGTACAGCTCCTTTAACAGAGGAGAATGTTGTGGTCTTTTCCCACTCGACTCCTGATTGAACTTCGCTCGATATTTCGATCCCTCCTGCTGCAACGAATGGGTAACTAACCGATGTACTGGCTTTCATACCTAACGTTAGAGAAGACATAGTGTTCCATGTTCTAGTACCGGTGTCTGTATACGAGAGATTCACTACTAAAGTGTTGGGTTCTTGGGTATAGTTACTAGCAGAAGTTCTGGCCACCACGAGGATTGTTTCGTCGTAGACCCTGGCATTTTCAATACTATAGTTGATACCATAAATTTGTCGCCTCAAGACAGCCTCTTCCACAGTTAATCGGGATTCGATATCGACAGACTCGATTGCTGCATTCAGGCAGCTTGTATTGTTTTCGGCTGTGAGTCTTTTGCAGAAACGATTGTTGCCCAAGTTAATAAGAGCTATGGTCTTATCGTCAACTTTGACCGGGCGAAACAAGGTGTCTCTGTTGTTGCTGCTGGTGTCATCAGAGTCTGCCCAGATCCAATTCGGACTACGCCTCCAGAACTTTCCGTTAGAAACTTGCTTGATGCGGATGGTTCCGTCGTTGTTAGGAAATATCTCGCAATGCACGGTTGGATCAGCCATGTCATCGGCTATAAACTGCAAAAACGGGTAGCGGCCCTTGTTTAAATAACGAACACACATGTACTTTTCGTAAAATCCTTTGAAGGCCACGTACTTGGGCAGAAACAATATCGAATTCCAATCAATAATTGTGAAGATATCAGCGCTTTGACCATCGAAAACCCTGTAGTTTGCCAACACAGAACGAGTGTATGTCGGATTGTTCCACTTCCATAAGCATAAGTAGCATCCTGAATGGACATGCCTGATTCGGCCCGTATTCTCGGCGGAGTTTACAGAGATAAACTCGAACAACGTGCATGACTCCTTGGATTGATCTTCCTCCTTCTTGTCGGCGGTGGCAGTAATCCAGTACTGGCTGCTTGTGCTTCCGGTGAGGGAAAGATTTTGGGTTCGTACCCAATATTTGTTGTTTTGACAGCTTCTTATATGCATCAAGCCATTTGTGTCGGAAAGCTCCACTTCAAACTTAGCATAAGGGTTCTGAGCCTGATTTTCAAAGAATCGGAGATAGCCATCGGTGTCTCTGCCATCACGGATATAGCTTAAGTAATTAAGCTTGTCCATGTATCCAAGGACAATAAACCTCGGCAATATCACTGCCATTTTCGCTCTGTAATTAAAATTTGAATGGAAGATCTCTTGGTGTGTTTCACTCTTGTGCTTGCTTACCACAACCACCTAGACTAGCTATTTGTACCGATAATCAAGGGTAATACTGTAAACCAACCAAAATATGTTTATTTCCGAAGTTTGTTTGAAATGTGAACCTGACAAAATTAGGTAAATATGCATCCAAGTTCTTCTTTCACAACCAGCTAGGCTAGCTATTTGTATTGATACCCAAGGGTACCATCTTCCATCAATTAAAACATGTTTATATTCGATGTTTGTACGAAAAGTGAACCTTACAAGTGGTAGTATATGATCTGAAGACTCTTAATCATTTGACAATGAATGTTGGAATATCCTACAGTCTCTAGTGCTCGAACTTGAAATTTCTAAGAATAACAATCATTTCTTTAACTATTGACGTAGCTTGGTTCGTGCTATTATAAATTTTTAGAATACAATAATCCAATCGTAAACTTACCGGTGATACAATGACATATTTAATCCTTTATTTTTATTTTCGTCCGGTTTACTTTTTGAATAAACCACGGAAATAAACTTATTTTCATCGATGGACAATATTATCCTTGACTATCTAGATAAATAGCTAGCCAAGCCAGTCGTGGGAAGCAAGCACTCAGTGAAACACAGCAAGAAATCATTGATTCAAATTTTAATCCCAGAGCGAAGATGGAATTAGCACCGAGAATGTCATTCCCCAGGTTTATCGTCCTTGAAGCCAGAGACAAGCTTAATTACATGAGCTATACTCGTGGAGGGGACACCGATGGGTATCTCAGGTTCTTCGAAGATCGGATCCAGAACCCATTTGCCAAGTTTGAAGTGGAGTTCTCCACAAACAACAGGGCACTGGCGCATATAAGAAGCTGTCAGAACAACAAATATTGGGAACGAACCAAAAATCTTTCCCTCACCGGAAGCACCAGCAGCCAGTACTGGATTACTGCCACCGCCGGCAAGAAGGAGGAAGATCAATCGAAGGAATCGTGCACGTTGTTCAGGATTATCTCTGTCAACGCGGCTCAGAATTGGGTCCGAATACAGCATGTCCAATCGGGATGCTATTTATGCTTATGGAGGTGGAATAATCCGAGACACACTCGTTCTGTGTTGGCGAACTACAGGGTTTTTGATGGACAAAGCGCTGATATCTTCACAATTATTGATTGGAAATCGTTATTGTTCCTGCCTAGGTACCTCGCCTTCAAAGGCGATAACGAACAGTATCTGTGTGTTCGTTATTTAAACAAGGGCCGCTACCCGTTTTTGCAGTTTATAACCGATGACATCGGTGATCCAACCGTGCCATGCGAGGTTTTTCCTACCAACGACGGAAGCATCCGGTTCAAGCAAATTTCTAACCAAAACTATTGGAGGCGTAGCCCAAATTGGATCTGGGCAGATTCTAATGACACCAGCACCAACAACAGGGACACCTTGTTTCGCCCCGTCAAAGTTGATGAACAGACCATAGGTCTTATCAACTTGGGCAACAATCGTTTCTGCAAAAGACTCACAGCCGAAAACAATACAAGCTGCCTAAATGCAGCAGTCACCACTCTTACAAGAGAAGCCCAGCTAAAGGTGGAAGAGGCTGTGTTGACGAGACAAATTTACGGTGTCCGATACAATCTCGATAATGCCAGGGTCTACGACGAACAACTCCTCAGCTTAGATGAGAATACTTCTATCAACGGGACCCAAGAACCCTCCACTTTAGACGTGACGCTCTCTTATACAGAGACCAGGACTAGTTCTTGGAACACTACTATTTCACTAAAGTTAGGTGTGACATCCACAATGGAGTTCAAGCTTCCACTCATATTTGAGGGGAAAATTGAACTATCCAGTGAATTTCAATCAAGTATCAAGTGGGGAAATACAGCCGAGGCGACCACACTTGTAGAAGTTGTTAACAAAGTTACTGTGCCTCCTATGACTAAGGCGACGGTCTCTGCGTGGGCAACAAACGGTAAGTGCGATGTCCCGTTCACTTATCTGCAGAGGGACACTCTTTTCGATGGGACCACCGTCTTATCTGAAGTTCAAGGCGGCGTTTTCACCGGTTCCAATTACTACAACATCAACTTTGTGACCAAAAACGAGAAGCTGAGGCAGTGAGTCAAGGAATGTGTCTGCGAGTAAAATAAAATCATGTTTCATCTAATGAAAGCATGCTGCATTTACGCTTTTTTTTAACTTAAATTGCAAGTAATAAATGGTGCCTGCATAGCCTAGTGGCATCATATCTCATGTTCTTGAATGTCAGAATATATAAATCATGTGTGCTCGTCACTTTGTTTAGGGAAATCAAAATATTATCTGTTATAATTCATGACGTGTTGGTCTACTGTCCATACTTCGATCGTTGATATTTGGGTCCAAACATGTTAATGTAACTTGATTAAAGGAAGTCTTGCTCACCCTTGAGGTCCTACGTTTGAGCAGTTGTGTCTGCAAAGTGTACGTACCTATATCAACAGTTAATAAAAATTATGAGATATTACATTATAATCACACCAAACTATCCATAAAGAAAAAAACATTATATCAGACAATTCAAGAGTTTTAAAAAAATAGAATATGAAATAATGTTTTTTAATTATTTTATTTAAAAAATTTATAAAAGTATCATGATAAAAATATTTAGGGTAAAGTATATAAATAGTCTTCGAACTTTTAGGGCGCTTGCATTTTTGTCACCCAACTTTTGAAACTTGCAATACAGTCATTGATGTTTTAGTTCGTTTTCAGTAAGGTCCCTACATTTACCTCCTGTTAGTTTTTGCAGGTGTGGCACTAACTCCCCAATTCTTCTTCTTCTTTCTTTTTCTTCTTATTCTTGTTAGGCTGTTGGGACCAAACAGCAACATCATATCTAACATCAATTGAAACTTACAGCATTAACCAAAATATATTTATCTGAAAAATTAACATCAATTACACACTTAATGAAAAATTGATCTGATTATCACCAATCAATAGGTGATTATAAGTGGTAATGTCTGTTCTAAAGAATTTCAATCATTTGACTGACTGTTTTAATACCCTGCATTTATAGTTGTCAAGGGATAACTACCATCCCTTGACAAAGAGCAGCAGCTGCTGTAAGAGAAAACCCTGCCGGAACTGAGTAAAAGGACCGGTGAGTTGAGCTTTTTTTTTTTTGAATTATAATGGAGGCCTAGTTACATAGGCTTACAACAAGGGGGTTCATACTGGTCTCTTTCTAAAGGATCGACGATATTAGCGGGGGGGGGGAGAATTATAGATGACAGTAGAACTAGAAGAAGTTCTAGCAAGCTTTGCTAGTGGATCGGCAGGTTGATTCCCTTCTCTTGGGGTCCACTGAAAATCCACAGCCCGGCTACGACGACAGAGATCAGCAACTGCTTGAACGAGAGAGAGAGAGAGCTGGAAATCGTATCTGGACTCTGAAGCAAGCTGATTGCTGGAGCACAGTCCGATTGAATTTGAATAATCTCGAAACCATTAGACCAGGCTAGGGTCATTCCAGTGAAGATGGCCCAAAGCTCTGCCTGAAAAGCATTAACAGTGCCAATTCCTTTGCTGAAGCCAAGAAGCCAGTTGCCGTCCTTGTCTCGGATAAGCCCTCCTATGGAGCTAATGCCCGTGTTCACGGAAGTAGCACCATCAACGTTCAAGCAATAGCACCCAACATCAGGACCTTTCCATTGAATCTTTTTTAGCAAAGGAGTGATAGCATTCGAGGAACTGTTGTTGCTATAGAAACGAGCCCAAGTTAAACTTTTTTGCAGCAACTCTCTGTCTGACAGATTGGAGCTATTGAAAACCCAATCACTGCGATTTTTCCAAACATGGCAGCTGTTGCTGGAAAATAAAATATTCCAAGGGAAATCGCTTTCAACAAATGGAAAATGAGAAGTTGAATTCCAGTGAAACCATTCACTAAGATTCATGGAGAAGAAAGATCCAAGAGTAGAAGTAGGAACCATCATCTCCCAAAGGTGCCGAATGCAGGGACAGTCCCTTAAAACGTGTAGAATAGACTCAGCGCCAGAAGCACAGAGGGGACAAGCAGTTTGATCGGAGAACAACCGTTTACACCGCTCGTGATTCATCATTAGTTTTCCTCTAATAGACAGCCAGATAAACACTCGAAGTCCTTGTGGGATTCTCATGCGCCAAACGACCATCCAAATGGGTAATTTTGGATCCCAAGCATTACCCATTAATTGAAAACAAGCAGATTTCAGATTAAAATCATGAGTCGGGGTCCACCTCCAGATGCACGAGTCAGGTGTAGCGGGATTATCCGGACATTTGATACCAATAACATGTTGAATGGCGTCATCAGTAAACACTTTTGACAGATCCTCAATATTCCAATGACTGTTGGGGTGAATAAATTCACCAAAAGAGCAAGGAGGAAGATCCCCATGCTGCGAGCGGGCATAAGGTCGAAGAGGACCCAAAGTTGGAATCTAGGTGTCGTCAAGGAAATTGATAATGTTACCATTGTCAAGAGACCAGGCAATGTTAGATTTCAAAGTGTTCTATTGCGAAGCTATGGCTCGCCAAAGAGGAGTACAAGAGCCAGCATCAAGGAGGAAGACGAATCCAAGGAGTCATGCACGTTGTTCAAGTTTGCCCCGGATTGTTCATGTGCAATCAGGATGCTATTTATGCCTATGAGGGTTCGCTAATCCGACATACGACTCCATCGTGTTGGCAAACTACCGAATTTATGATCATCAAGGCTGTGATATCTTCCAACTTATTGAATGGAATTAATTGTTGCTTCTGTTGAGGCCATGTTTCCTTGAAGGAAGAATGTACTTATGTTTTCTTATAATTAATAAATGCCCATGCATAGACTAGTGGAATTATTATTGGAAACGTGAATGGACACTCGATATTATTACGAACTAAAATACGAATCCAACACAAACACTAGTTGAGGCTGGTTTACAAACACTATCAATATAGCTTTATCAATATAGCTTTGCTAAGCTTCACTCTTACTCCCGTTTTCTCTTTTTTTTTCACTCACATTTCATGCTTCATTTTAACTCTAATTTTAACTACTAGTGGCGGATATACGTGTTGATCCTGAAATCTGAATTTCTTTATGTTAATTGTTCATTTTACTAATGGTACCTGTCTGAAAATTTTATTTGTGATCGCCACATAAAAGAAATTATTATAAAGTAAATCAAGATAGAACAACCATTATCATAAAATATAAAAATTGGGATGCTTTGAATTCCTGAACTGTGGGCTGAGACATGAAAAACAAAACAAAAATGACCCATCTATACAACTCTTAATGACCTAAAATTTAAACTACAACACATAGACTACCTCGCCTGATCTGATTGTATACAACAAGAAACTGAAAGAAAATGTGTATATATTCTGTCAATGTGTTCCTAATTGGTCCCTTTAAATAAAAAGATCATCTATGACATTCATTGTTGCCTTGCCGATACCTTTACAACACTCGTCCAACGATCGATCTGTGCTATTGTGGGGGAAACCATTCATATATTACATACAAAATTAAAATCATATAAGTTCATACTCATTATAAAAATAAAATGTAACATACATGCCCCCTAATTACACTTGTATTGTACTCTTCATCTCAAGCCAAAGGAACTCCCATTACAGATGCCAATAGATACGTCGGATCAATTCTTTTAACCTGAAATAGAGAGTAAAAGAGTCAGCTTTGGGAAGCTCAGTAATACAGAACTACCAAGTGATGCTGAAGGACATGCATATAATAGGAAAGAATAAAAATTTCCTTATCAATTCATACGTCTACATGTTTTCGGGGTGAGCTGTGGTTTCACTGATATTTCTTTGAGTAAAATACATGAAGATTTCATTTCGGATGAAACATTCAGAGGACCAAGTTTTCAGGAGATCGGAATAGGATGTCTAGTGTGTTCCAACAAAACAGAGTAATGTATATAGATCTTTTAAAAATGTTAGTGGTTTAAAACATATTTTAAAATCACAATAATACCCTCCAATCGAACACCTTTATGCAGTTTCCCTAGAACTACATCCATAAGGACTTACCCTAAGTACACAGCAAATGAGCCACCCTAAGGGAATACCTTGGGGCCTATGGGCCTACCCAAGGGTCTCCTTAGGTCCGTAAAGAATTAACAGCTTGATCAGAGCTGAACCTCCATACTCCATAATCCTACCCATACAATATCCAGTAGAAATCATATTTAACAGTAAACGATAATATCATGATCGTGATCCAGTAAAATCTCATAAGAGTGACAATGGAATAAACATATATCTTCCATCCACCCGTACACCATATGCAGTCCCATGATTTACCCAAGGGAGTGCCTTGGGGCTTGAGAGTCTGCCCAAGAAAGTTTCTCGGGGCCTCAGAGCCTACCCAAGGGTCACCTTAGGTCCGTAAGGAGTTACCAACTTGATAAGAGCTAAACCTCCATACTCCAGCCTAACAAGATAATGTCCCAATAAAACAGTTCAAGTAGTAACCAGTAGATCATATGATCCATGAATCAGGAATGATTATATTTTCCAATGAAAATGGTAATCAGAGAACACATACCATGTAGCCATGGTTCATAAGCCAATAAATCATAAATTTTGGTGAAACACAATTGAAAATAGATAAAACAATCATGTAGTACATAGGGAACACACTAGAGGATCCAGTTATTTTCCGAAGGTACTTAGCAATTATCAAGTGGGGACCAGGAGACTTCTATAATTTAATAGGATTTCATAATCAAGATCCCTATAAAATAGGGGTTTGATAGCTAACAGAGTCATCAGTCATTCAGGAAGTGATTTATCAAGATCATATAATATTCAAATATTTTTCGGAGGCTCTAAACAACCAGTAAGGTACTCATAATCTTTTGCATCAGAGTTACTTAAGATTTCAAATATGATATGAGTGATTCCATTATTTGGAAAATCAAGGGCATTTTGGACATTTGGTTCTTGGAGAATTATTAGTAATTTGATCTAATAAGGGTGAAATGATGATTCATGGTATTTAAGATTCATGTCAATTATCAGGATATCGAGTTAACTCGAACTAAACAAATCACATCACTATGATACCTATCAACTGGTCAAATCAATGCACTTCAAAGGTATTCACACTTTAACATTGACAACTCTTGTCGAACTGATCATCTTTAGAATCATCGTTGTATGGATCTTAGGGATACAAACATATATTCCAATGGTATTTATTTTATTTCTATATTGCAACGATATCAAGAAATGTCGACGTGCTCGATTTGTGGTTCAAAACCCTTATGGGCGGTACAACATATAGGTTCATCAACATTTCCAAACTTATCTAAGTCATTCATTTAATTCTAGGTCTTTGAGGGTACTTAGTTCATTTAGTAGTTAAATCTATCTTTGTCACTTCGAAGTTCCAGAGTAATTCATTTGTTTCCATAATTCGCGCATACAGTACTTCCATTAAGTTCACCTTGGTCATATAATATAGTTATTTAGAGAAATTCAAACGTGTAAAGTACCATCGGTAATTTAGTCTTCGGGTGTTTGCTCAAGAAAGAGAAATTCTAGGTCATTTTGCTATTCAAGGTTGATTTATTCATTTAAGAGCTTAAGGGTATTTAGTTATTCTAGAGCTTGGACGTACTTCGGGTCATTTTACACTTCAGGGGCATTTCAAATAGATCAAGAATTTAATCGGTGATTCCAAGGTTCAAGTGGATCAAAATATGAGTTCTCATGTCGTCCCCATTATCATAGCCATCCATAATCCTTTTTTTACACTTTAAGGGTATTATCGTCATTTCATTCAATTCTGTTAGTGACATTACTTCTGATAAATTAGCTTCAAGTGTTTATTCAAGAATCAGAGTTTATAGGCCTTGTGCTTTCTCTGAGGTTTAAAACTGATTATAAGATATTTTCCAAATAAATTAGGGTTAACAGGTGGGTCATAGATTTTATCGAGTAAAAAAACAAATTCTCGGGGTAATTCCACTATCATGATCAATATATACAATTTTTACATCTTAAGGGTATTTTCATATTTTCTTAATGAATTATTCTTCGCATTTAACCTTTAAAGAAATTAGTCAGAATTTTGGATTCTGAGATCGATTTATTACTACATAATCCATGAACTTAGAATTATTTTAGATCTGTCTACCAATTTCTTTTGCGATCAATTTGAGTCTTGTACAGTGTTATGCCTTTATTCCATATTCATTTTAAGTCAAATGATAATTAAATACACCAAATTGACCAATCATTTTCATTCATGCATTTACCAATTATCAATGTGTTCCGAAAAGTATACAAAAGGTAGTAGAGTATTATCTCGATTAACGAGCTATATCGATCGACCATTTAAACTACATTCGATCGCTCTCAAACTTTAATTTCACATCCCATAATGTCTCGGATACATAGCAAACAAATTTACTTCAGAAAATGAACAAAATAGAAAAACTAAATTTGATTTTGAAGATAAAACACTGAAAAATGGCTTACCGAGTGCGAATTTGGCAAAATGGACATCGAATTCAGACTCATAACGTCAAAAAATGTAAAATATGACTTTTCAGAAATTTTAACTTTTTCGGTCAAAGTTAACGGTCAACGATCAGATCGGTCAAAGTCAACGGTCAACAGTCAAACTGGTCAAAGTCAATGGTCAATGAGTCAGGTCAAAGTCATCGGGTCGGGTTGGATTGACTCGATTCGGGTCTAACATACCAGGTTCAGATCGAGTTGGCTGGTTCAGGCCGATCCAGACCGACTAGACCGGTTGTAAAAGGTTTCCAGAGCAGATAAAGAAACCCATGTACACGAGGAGGCGCGTGGCAACGACGACGGGCTCGGGATGGTCGGTCGATTACTCCACTAGTAGCTACACACCATTTCCAACAAAATTAAACCAAAAACATCAACCCAACCAACCCAAAATAACTGGAAACATCCGGGACTTACCCACGCCGACAATGGAGGGAAATCGGCAGCGACACAGTGACTCTTTGGTTGGGCCTTGACCAGAAAGATGCGAAGAGTCTAGCTGAGGTGGCGGTGAGGTGAGCCAATGTTTGAGATGACCAAAATTTATGAAAACCGAGGCGATGGGGGATTTTTGGTGATGTTTTGGCAGGCTTTCCACAGAAAACCACGACTACTTCTAACGATCTGGTGGGTGGGTTTTGATCGGGCTTTAATGGTCCTTCGCCTAGGTGTCGGTGTCGCTCACCGACGAGCGGAGACAGAGGAGTAGTGAGGGGTTTCGAACGACTGTTATCTCAAAATTGGACAAAAGGTGGTCGATTTCAGTGAGCAAACAGACGGGGTCGGGCAGCGGGAGGTTGTCGGTTCGTTTGGTGGTGTCAGAGCACCACAACGTCTGCCGGAGCGGGCAAATCGGTTGTCACAAGCTTGAGGACATAGTTTGTTTAGGACAGGTTTGGGTTTTTTGAGAAATTTTGGGGTTTGATTCCCATTTTTTTAGATTAAAAATTCCAACCATAAAACATAAAAAAAAAATATTTTTTACCCAAACCCATCAGCTACAGTAACTTAGCCTAGATGGTAAGGGCTATGGGAAGGTTCGAGAGGGCATGTGTTCAAAACCCCTGAACCACTCCATTTGATTTTATTTTCTTTTACCATTCAAGGAAAAGGGTAAAATCAAGGTTCAAGTCCCTAAACTTTCTTGGAAACATAAGTAATAACCTATTATTTCAAAATTTCATAATTTAGTCATCAAATTAACTTACTTTATCCATTAATTAACCTCAATATTTTTGGGGTGTGACACTCACATTGCCATCACCATCATCACCGATGACTAAACCATGACCCTT